GTCAGCAATTAAAATCGGAGGGGGTGAATCACGGTGTTCCGAAAATACAAGAACATTCTGAGGGACGTTAATGGGCTGGCTCTGTTGACTTGTTTGAGGAGAGTTATGGAGAATATGGCGATGGTGATTGGTAGGTGCTGAGACGGAGCTTGTACATACCAGTCATTTGGATTTTGCCGGGGACGCGTGCGGATTTGAAGAGTTACTTCCGCGCGACATCTGCAGCGATTAGATTGATTAGATTGCAGCCTGAGAGCGCTGGATTGGAGGCCTGGATCCCTTCAAACAACTGGAAAGTGTTACGCACGCATCGGTGTTGACTAAAGTGATGTTTTGTCTACATCAGCCATCTGGGTGTATAAATAAGCTGCATCCCTATTTGGAATGACTATTTCGGCAATACACCAGCGCGACTAGGTCATATAACGCCTGATCCCAGCCCGGCGTCGTGACATCTCCAGCCTCCGCATGAGGGTACACCTGTGGCGCCATACCTATCGGAGGCCTCGCATTCGGCGACAAGGTCGCTCCATGTGCGCGGACCAGGAAGCCCCGCTGGTGCCCGCGCCGCCGCTGCCGCTCGTCAGCCAGCTGGCAGGCTGTGTGGCTCAGTCCATCAGCCGGCCGCTCCCGCCGCTGATCTGGCACCCGCTCTCAGGGCGGGGCCGTGCCGCGGCGTCACGGCAGGAGGCCCCGGCTCCTCGCTGAGGGGCGGTCACCCCGCGCTGTCCTCCGCCTCTGCCGCTGATCTGATGCCCGCGTTCCGGGCTGGGCCGGGCCGCGGCCGTCCACAGCGCTACTCCTACGGGTCCCGGCTCCCAGCTGGGTGATGTCACACGTATCATACGACACCGGCTCTCGCTGGTGTCATACCAGGCCAGCGGCGTAGCTAAGGGGGAGAAAAAAAAACACTTGCGGCCCATGACTCCCTTCGCCCCTGGAGACGGGGAATCTCTAGATCCAAGGCCTCAAGTATGTCTTGGCTGTTTAAGATAGCCATAGGACTTCTAAAACATAAACGGACCCTCGTGGTATCAAAATGGAACCTCAAGCCTAACAAGATCCCCGGTGCCAAAAATACACTTTCTATGGTGACCAAATGAGACCTCTTGGTCGAAGAGGTCCCTTGTCATGATTTGCCCCCCTCTTGAGCAAAATTCTGGCTACGCCGCTACCCCCCCCCCCCGCCCCATGCACACACTGACAAAATCCTGGATTCGCCGCTGATGGGATGCATGTCATACGCCATTCGATCTGGAATGTTATACAAATTCCAAAATTGTTGCAAAAATGGTTGTCGGACAAACAAATCGAAAGATATTGACAATTTGCCTCTCAACCAATCGGCTTTCCATCTAATTGATGGTTTTCCATTAACTTCAACATGCGACACAATGACGTGAAAAATCGCCCCCTCGTTTTCCGTAAAATTGCTACAGGTCCAAAACACCAGAGACAACAGATGTTGCGAATTCAGGATAGGATCGACACCAGATCGATACTCGTCAATTACACTTTTAACACACGATGTCGGAAAAAAATACGAAGAGACGTTGTGTTGAAACTAGGGTACACTTATGCTAGCCGCCAATAGGCACACCAACTGTGTCAAAGTTTTCAAGTGAAAGAAGTTAGGTGATCAGCTTAGGTATGACGTCCTGTTGGGTGGTGTGTAGGTGGTATGATGGTGGTTAAGTAGTTAAGTGATACAATTTGTCCTCGCATTATTTCTCTTCGAAGCCAGCACGGGACCCAAGACCTGGAAAATTCCTATCCCTTCGATGTCTTTCGAAATCCGCGCTGGGCAAACTTCACATCGCATTTTTTCGTAACGCATGTATTCGCACGCAAGGTCCGCACACAAGTCTTCGCGTTGCATTTCTTCGTGCGCAGATTTTCGCATCGCAAATTCCTGCGCGTTAGTCTTAATACACAAATCTTCACATCCGCAAAACTTCGCATGTTTAGTTTTCTGTATCAGATGTCCATATGGTTTTTTTCTTCGCATCGCACTTATTTGTACATTTCCTCATAAATGCACTTCTTTGTACCGCATTTGCACGGTCACGCATTTGTTTGCACCGTATTCCTTCACGCACTCAACTCTTCACATCGCAGTTCTTTGCATTTCATTTTTACATAGCTTTTTACAAATCGTATTGTTTCGCGCACGCAGTCCTTGTCACGTCATGCGTGCACTGAGAATAGGAACAGGTAAGAACGTCGAAGTCACGTCACCCACAGCGAAGGTTACGTGCCCGCCAACCGAGACTGGTGTCCTGGGTTAGGTGGAGCGTCCCTGATACGGCGAGATTTCAACCTTCTGGGAAGCTTCCACTGAAGCTTTTGGTTTGAGCGTCGATCTCCCCGAAAACGGTGTATAAGCTCGGATATATTCCCTGTCGGTCATATGTTCAAGCACGGCAAATGCGCCCGAGGCCATGTACAGCCGGGGGTACAAACAGAAGAAATAACTGCCTTACATGTTAGAAGTACGTTTATCCCAGTGGTAGGTATATGCTCCGGCCGAACCTCACAGCCGTACATTTTGCCAGAGGTCCTCAGGCTTCTGGACGAATCGTAAGTCCCACGTGGGATGCACAGAAAACGTCTCAAATACACCCTGGATGGGCCGATCCGGTTCTTCCGTGACTCAGTTAAACGTTAAGTGTATAGGGAGACTGTGCTCGGCAACCAGTCGTCGCATTCGCCGGGTACTGGCTGACATGGACATGGAGGTGTCGCGTAGCAGGATGGGGTGGGAGAGCGCGTGCTTGTTACAGTGCGCATGAAGTGAACCGTGTTCTTCGCTAATGTGCCGCACTTAATAATGGGACATTGACTGTTATGCAGTTTCTGGTGTTTGAACATTGTTCAAGAAGTAGGCGAGGACCTGCTTCTTGCTTATTCTCCTCGTTGTTCTGATGTTCTTTCTCGTTATTCCTTTCTTCTCTTGATCCTTATGCATCATCCTTCAGCCTTGCCAGGAATAGTCACTCTGCGACCCCAATACATATGTTATGATGTACAGTCTACACATGACCCTGCGTAGCTGATACACGAACTGATTTCTCTGTTGTCTGTCCCCCGTACCTGCAGATCAGTTGGCAAAACGGCGATCGGCCTATTCTGACAAAAGCTTTTCCGTTCGCGCCCCCAAAGGCCGCAAGATTTAAACGATGAGCTGTTGCATTTATGATTATTTCGACACAATTTTCCGATTTCGTGAAACTGTGAAGTGGGAATGCTGTTTTGTCAAATTTCATATCTGTGAATTTGCATTCCCGTCAAACTCATGCACTAACCCACTACCCGGCCAAGCCCATCTAAACCCATTCCCCGCCTCTTCCCTCCAGCAAGACTTGCAAATTGTAATAGCTGCAATTGGAAGAACGAAACGCGTAAAAAAGGGACTCACATAATTGTGTATGCTAAGAGATGCGATACGAATATTTGCGTGTGTCCGTGCAGAGTCCTTCGTGTTTAAAGAATTGTTATACGAAGAAGAGAAAAGTGCACGAAGGGGTGCGGTTCGAAGAATTGCGTGCAAGAAGGGTTGCGGATGCGAAAAAAAATGCAGTGAGGCGAAATGTGATGCGAAGAACTACGTCCACCAAGTTGACGAATACGAAGTGTTGCGTTACAAATATTAAGATCTACGAATTTCTATACGCTTACGAATCTTTGCGCACGAAATATTGTTATACGGTGTGCGATATGAAGATTTAAGTACGATTTTTTGCGAACGAAGAAATGCGTTACGAAAGATAGGATCTGAAGCTCTGCCCTGGAACCTTCGAAATCGCTTCACTTCAGAACATACGTCAGTAACGCAGCGCTAATGTAGGAGCTACCTCGAGGTGGGATATAGACCATGGGGACTAGATGAGCCGCAAGATCCGCGACATGAACAGATTTGACTCCATCCACCAGGACGCGTATACGTTGTCGTCGCCAGGAAAGTACCTAGGCGAGCGGAGAATGCCGGTGTGCAGATGGTTGATGAGCGCTGCGTTCGGGTGACTGATAGATGATCATGAATGGTCACCAAGCAGTGTGACAGCGGTCTGATTTTTGGCATTACGCAGGTGTCCATTAAAACGCAGGTGCAAGCTTTGCTTTGCCTCGCCAATGTAAGTTGCGTTGGTGGGGTTGCATGGGATCTGAAGAGTGACGTTCTTGGTGGCACATCGATCTTTCAGCTCGGCTTTACAGGTGGTGGTGGATGCTTGACTCCCGACTGGATAGCGAGGGTCGCTCTAGTACAGAACGGACCGAATCTTTCTTCAATGTGTTTTTGTTGTTTGGATTTTTCTTCAGGCCTTGAACCTGTCTCGCCACAAGGTCATTTGTAAATCTATGCGGTCATAACAGTCATTGTAAAGTTGTGGCTACCGCATACCAACAAGGCAACAACTTGCTCATAAAGACAGTCTTTTTCAGCCTCGAAACAAAACAAACTCACCCATACGTCATTTCATTTATATTTATTGCGACGCATTAGTTCGGTGGGAAAATCGGGTCGAATGATCGCTTTGTTTCCGATAGAAAATGTCAGAGCACCTGAATTTGTGCGACAGACGCGCGCACACACTAGGTGCCGTCAACGCTAAATAACCTCGTGATGGGTGCCGTGCTCATTTGCGAAAGAAGACTGATGGGCTACGCGTGTTCAGCTAACATTGGTTTGACCGGTTGTTAAAGCTTGACCTAAATGGAATCGGCCTTACTAGCTGAAAACGAACTCCAGGCAACCGTACACGTCACATCCTTCCTATAAGTCATTGTGGCAGCGCATAATATTCGGCGAAGCGCCGCCGAGCAGCGCCGGCTATCTGCCGGAACTCCCGAACTCTCTTGGGCGCGTTCCCGGTAGACAGTTCGCCTTTCTCCGCGGACGGCGCACGCAGCGGCCGCTCCGCGCCCCGGCCGCGATTCCCGGCAGCAGCGGCGGCGGCCGGCTCTCGCCGCCGCTGAGTCAGCCGGCCGGCCGGCTCCTACTTATGCGGCCGCCGCAACCGGCCGCGTCAGTCCCAAGTGGAGCGCGCGAACGGTGACGTCTGAGGCTCCGCCAGTCCGAGACGAATACCAAGGTGAGCGGCGCAGTGGGAGCGGCTTGTTCAGCAGGCTGTCGAGACAATTATTTGAAGGCCGCAGATGTATAGATTGCATCTGTCCTAACGAATTTGGACGTTTATGCTTGCAAGCGCCAGAGCTGCCGTGTTTTGGTGGGGATTAGGGGGCCCGATTCATTCCAACTTTTGCAGGGTTCAGCCCTGAGCTGCCGGTGCATGAGAGGCACAGATCGAAATGCCTCTGAGCCTCTTCCCGCGATTAAATTTTCGTCAAACGCTCATGCTCCTGCATACGTTTAACCGCAGTTCGCGCGTCGCTATTTATGGATTAACCAAGTCACTTAACCAGTCGCGCGGATTGGAGGCCCCCTCGGACGCCGGTGTGGCGGTACCATATCTGATTATTCACCGGAGCGATCAGCTGCCTCCCGAAATCGAATTGACGTCTGATCACTGGGGGCAGGTGGCAGTTTCTATATGCTCTTGAAGAACGCATTTGCTGAGTACCGGGCCCGCGCTTTGATTAGCCGGGGTGGGCTTAATGTGTGATCCAAGCCATGGCTTACCTCCTAAAAGCCGAATAAACGCGGCTTGAACGCGCCGCATGATCCACCCTGGGCCGTAGTGGGGTCCGGCACTGCTGCCGCGACTCCGGTCGGGACCTGACTCCCTCGGGCACTGCCTCGGCCTGGGTCGGACTTCTGTTGATCTTGTCAGCTCACCGACGCCGGCGAGAAGCTGGGATGCGTGACTCGGCTGCCGGCCGATGGTGAGAACGAGTTGTTCAGTGGCCCCAGTGAAGCTCCGTCCTTAGGGATGCCGCAGTGGTTCTTCCCTCTCGTGTGATCTGGTCATTTCGGCGATGCTCCGAGCTTGTGCTCGGGTGAACTCAGTAACGTTCTTCCCCGTGTGGTCTGGCACCTCGGTGACGCTCCTCTCGTGTGATCTGGTGACCAAACTCTCGAAGGTGTAGAAACAGGGGCTTCATGTGGGCCACGACCCAGTCGCTTTTTGTGAAGATGTGACACTGACATTGACTATTTGAGGAATGAGCTCGGTCCGTCACCTTTTTGGTCGTTTCTACGCCCCTGCTCCGTTCATTGAGACTTGGGGCCAGTCTGTAAAGTAGGATAGCTTGACACTTGTCGGTTGCCACTTGTCACCGGCCAAGTAGGCACTTCTTAATGATACATGTCTAGTTTCCAACCCAACGCACCCTACCACCCACCGGTCAAATTGTTTCGGCCGTCCGTTGAAAGGCGTTGGTGGCCGGATCACGCAGATGTTCATGACGTCACTCAATCACGGTGGCTCTCAAAGGGAAGGCGCAAGTGCATTGCTGTTGCATAGGACAAATGACGCCATAACCTTGTCTGTGATGAGGTGCAGTCTCGAAGGCCAATGTCAACGTCGGATTACTGACGTAAACGATATGCAATCTTAGCAACTTAGCAAGCAATTTAGATAAATGCCAGAGTTTTGCTAACCTGTCCAACCCCACTCTTGCGAGGTTATAGCTCTGCGCTGATGCATCCGCATCTGCACCGCTGCATCGCTGCACAACTGCGTCGACGCTATATTATCGTTCGCTTAACGATATTGGCTGTCAGTCAAAGGAACACTCTTCCAAAGGTCACCACGCCATCCAACTCCATCACCTGGATGTCGTGGTGACCACAATGACCCTCCTTCCTTGTAGCATTGAGACCACAGTGACGCTGCGTATCCCGTGCTCTTGCAAGCAACGTGATGCGCCGCCTCTTGTGGTCCGGTGGCCATAGTGATCTTCCATCCCGCGTGATCTCGTGACCTTAATGTGACTCCGTCCCATGCACTGTCGTGAGCCGTCCGTGACCGTGTGGCTCCCACAGATGAAGAACGCGGGAAGCCTGCTGCTGGTGCTGGTGGCCGCTGTCTGCGTGGTCTCCGTCCACCCCATGCCGGCCGAGCCGCTGCCCTCCGAGTCGGAGCCCTCGTCCAGGTCAGCCGAAGGCCTCTTCTACCGGGGCTCTGCTGGCCTGCCCCCACCCCTCCTCGCTCGCTGAATGAGCCGTTATATCACTGCAGCAGAGCCCTCGCACAGGGGTCACGGCCCCTACGCTCAGTGCAGGGTCACGCCGTGGTGCTGAGATTCTGCGAATGAGGAATCTTAGTATCGCGAAATATTGTGCGTGCGGTTGGCTGTCCGGGTAGTGTGTGCGCACGCTGGTCACGTGACGTGCTGGCCGTGGTTGTTTTACCGCCAGCTGCTATCCGTCAAATCTGTTACGGAGAAGACTGACCAGCTGGCGAGTGAATCACTGACCCCGGTCCTCGATGTCATAACATTTGGACCTGACGTCACAGCCAATCATGCGTCGGGAATGTCAGCCGGCCATGGCCTCGTCCGCAGGATAAAATCGCACATTTGCTTCAATACGTTCAGCTTTCGTTGCACTTACCAGGCAGGCGATGCAGCCATTCTTTCGTCTGTAATCCACGAAAGCTGTTGTGGTATTTTGCAAAAGAACTCATCATTGTACTGGAGCAGCTTCATCTGTGTGAACTCAAGAGTCAATATTGTGATTGCCAGCTGTACAACCTATCGATCAGGATTACACAGAGCTGTCCACAGAAATGTCAAAACGTATTCCGAGAGCGCGCGTGACGCCCCTGTGTTTGTGACCTCAATGCACGCATAATAAGCCGCCGGACTCCTGCTGCAGTGGCGGTCTGTTTGGCCTTGCCTCGCTGGATGCGCTGACCGAGCGGATCCACGACTGGACGGCGCCCCTCCGTGACCTGTTCATGGAGACGGTGCAGAACAAGACGGTATCGGAGGTGGCCATCGAAGCCCGTAATGCCACCGTCAACTTCGCCGTCCGCGTCAAGGACATGGAGGCCGTCCAAAGCGCCAAGGTATGAGCCGCAATACCGCGTTACGCACAGGCTGGTCGGACCCCCGCCGCGAACACGCAGGGTAGCTGTGGCCATGCGTGGATGGATACAGTGGTTCGTCTCACCGCACATTGCGGCTGACCGCGACCACAACGGCTCCTGTTGCGTCATATATGCGTTGCGTGCGGTGTAGTGCTTTGAGGCCGGGGCAAGCAAGCCTGGCAGACGACACGCGGCCTGAACTGCAGGGCATTGGGGCCGGCGGCCGAGCGTCATGAACACTGGGCCGTCACCTGACCCGCGAGCCCGCCTGCTCGTGATCGGTGCCGACCGGCGGAGGCGCGCGCCACGTCACGGCAAGTCAGCACCGGACGTGACCCGCGCCCAGCCGTCCGAGGACCGTTCGCAGCCATTTCCCAAACCGGTCTCGCTTCCGCCCACGGCCCAGCCTTTGTCCTCGCTCCAACGGCCACGCACCACAGCGGTCGATCCGTGCCGTGACGTCCGTCACACCCACGCCCAGCGAGGTCACACTCCGAAGGTCATTCAGGCACGATGGGTAGTGTTGATACGCTGACGCCGGCGATCGACGCCCGCGCTCAGATCACATGTTCAAGGTTGGGTAAGGTCGTCTGATGCAATACTCCGATAAAGCCCAGAATAATCCAGAAATGTCCACCACAACAAGCTGCCTTCTCAGCGTGGGTGTCGGCTGCTTACTTCCTCTCAATTAACGATGGCGGTCTACGTTAACATTAAAGGAGTTTTTTTGTGAGGCAGCCAGCCCATTATCTCTGGACGAGAGAGGCCTTGTAACTACGATAATTTATTTCAAAGTACCGTAATTCCAAGTTATCATTCGGGTCCGCTTGTTCCATTACGTGCCTATCACGAACGACACAGGTCGATCGGTGGAACCCGTCACGGTCTGAACAAATCCATGCATTTAGGACTCATCCTGTATTTGACTGTGCCGGACTCGAAAGCCCCGAGCGACAAGAATAAGGTTTGCGTGCATTCAAAGACAGACCAGCACACGTGGTTTGATGTATATCGCCAAGGAAAAAATGGTATGATGGGTTGAGCCGGATCAAATTGGGTCTGATAAAAGTGCGTATTGGTTGATGGGTTTAAAGTGCAGTTATTGTTTTTAATTGCACCGAATTCTGTTCAAGTGCTATGCAATCACACTCACCATGACAACCATGAAATGGCCATCTGCTTGGTTATATTCGAGGGCACGCCGTAACTGGAAAGGATTATCGTCGATAAGTTATACAGCCATTGTACGTGGCAGGTCGCTTTTCTTCATCCGGTACGGAGGGGTCCTCTAGAAAGTCCCCTTAAATCGCTCACTGTGGCACAAAACGACTTCGAGCACACACATCCTCCAGAAAAGGGCCACTAAGCGCCTTTCGTCTCTCTCTGAACTCTTGCTCTACAGCTTTGTCTTTAAGGCTCACCACTTGGAGCGACACTTCGCGCTCGCAACATTGTGGATGGATCGCCTACGGTGATACAAGCCACAAACTGACTGAACTGTAAATGTTTGAACTGCACCACGGCTGACGGCCATGTCCGGCTTGTGCCGCAGGACGCCATCTCCCCGGTGGTGAGGATGTTCGAGCAGGTGCGCGACAGCGTCAAGGACAAGACGCTGCAGCAGCTGGCCGGCGAGGTGAAGACGCACCTGGTGCAGCTGGACCGGACCGTGGCCAGCTTCATTCGCGACCTCGGCACAGACGCCGAGACCGACTCCACCGCGCCGGCCGCGCAGGTGCCTCAGCAGAGTGTCGAGCAGGCGGCCGAGGAGAGCAACGCCATCGGCACGGAGACGTTGTGAGCGGCGCCGCCAGGTCCCGAGAGGCGAGCGGGCCGACGCGGGCTGGCGGCTCCGGCAGCACGGCGGAAGCGTTGCCGGCCGGGCCGGCCGTGCCGCCACACCGTGCATGGAGCGAGAGCTGTGAACTCTGGACGACTACAGGGACTGTACATGCGAGTGCGGCGGATCATGTTTGTCGGACAGGCCGTGGTTGTTTGCGGAGCCTGGGAGCAGAACATCATTGTGAGGCATTCATTGCATGGCATGCTGTTTACACTGGTCTGTGTCGTAAGACAGCACCGTTGTTTAACTGTTTTGAGAGGAATCCGGTACAAGGCGTACACGGGCACTGTGAATCATGTGATCATTGTATGGACTTGCTACACCATGAATTATCGTTGCATTGGCTCACGAGCTATGCGGAGCGTCGTCGAGTTCTCTGAACAGTGTGGGGACTTCCGACCCCACTAGAGTGTAACATACACGATTCGTCAGATATAGACAGAATAAATCTGACGAAAGCGTTGCTGATTGATGTCTTTGAAATCACCCAAGGCAGAAAACGAGCTATCCCACGATCATTTTCAATTCGCGTGCACTGCTTCACTGAGTGCAGAGTGACTCATCACCGAACCCTGCGTCTATAATACTCCTCGCCAGCAGACCACGGCGAGAAGAGGAGAATCGCTCTTAGGAGGTTGCCCTCTCTAGCAAATGGGCGTGGGCCGTGACACCAGCGGATGACCCGGTTGGTTGAATGTGTGCCTCTTTGTACCGTGCCAGCGCAATACGCCTCAGGCACAACTGCGATGTCCTCAGATTGTCACAATATCTGGTGGATAAACTTCCAGCGTAACCGCGCTATACTTCATTGCTGCAAGAGCTACACTCGACAGGAAAGCCGGCAGTGGTATCATCGCAGACTTGAGCGGGCTGGGGATTGCAAAACGTTCAGGATTTTGTAGACAAATATTTCTGACATCAAACCACAAAGTGAGAGAAATTCGCAGTTTTTTCCGTAAAAGTTCAGGTGTGTTCAGGGATAATAGTGTTCCTCAAGGTCTGCAAAGAACCAGGCTACCCAGGAAAGCCAACACCCGTCCCTGCGCTTGGGCCTTAAGCCTCATGAAATCAGGAGCTTCTTTGCACGACCATGGATCTCCCGCCAAACATCGGGGGGCGCACAGTCCGCGTCAGTGGGCTTCGATGCTGTCTGTGCCTGAGCCCCGTCAGGATGTCTGGGGGAACCGCAGCAGGTTCAGGCTTCGGGAATAATTAGGGCCACTGGACAAAATGACTCCAAGATGAATAATGCCTGTCATGAGCAGATTGAGACGCCATTGTAAGATCAAATATCAAGATGCCCGGCCATCCATCCCTTGTCCTCGGTCTCCAGTCCATCCTGTATACTCGGAACCTCTGGTTTTATCGAGAGCATGCCGCCATCGCCAGCCATGGGTCGGCCCACGGCCCATTCCACGTCCATGTACTCGGGTTATTCAATATAAACTTGAGGGTATCGCTGCCAATTGTCACGGAGATTCAACAACGTGGCGGCGGTCAGGAAAGTCAGACACGTGTATACATACAAGCATGCAATCGTACCCGTGCGAGCGTTGCTATCGTGTCACCGGGTCGTGTCACTGTGTCACTGTGTCGTGTCACTGATAACACGACGCAGCAGCTGTCGAGTAAAGGTCACAACCGGTAGATGCTTGAGGTCACGCGGTCGTGCGCAGTAAAACTTGGGTGCGCAGGAGGAAAACGACGTTTCTTCCTCTCAGCGCGGGGCCGGGGTACAGAGAAGCCATTGCAATGTCTCGTGAGTCGCAGGGGGACATCAGCCCAGGTCCGTAATTCGTCGGCCAGCGAACCAGGCCCTCCATACCGGGGCACCAGCTGTGAGTGAGGGTACTGGTGTGGTGCCTCGCTAAATCAGCACCCGAGTGAGCCAAGCAGAGCCTGTTTACTCTTGTTAGAAGCTGCTCCCGCGCATTTGCACACACCCCGACGTAGGCCATGTCCCTGTGAGGGATAGGGGATAAGGCTCGGTAACGGTGATAGTGTAAGCCGGCTAAGACTCTACCCTATTTATTGAATCTCTCCTGAACTATTTGGTTCTTAAGTGGTTGGGCTCAAGCTGATCCAAATAGGACGACTAGCAGTCACCAGCAAATGCAGTTACAAATTATGACCAATTTCTTGTCGGCCAAGGCATCCCTCGAGACGCCTCCTCATTACTGAGACGGCCCGCACCGCCAGAGATCATCAAGAAGCGGACAGTCAGCCACCTAGACCGGGATTTGCCGTTGAATCGAGGTAGCGGTAGAAAGGGCGACGAAGGCCATCTTCATTCCAACATCTCACGTAATCGTCGAGCAATAAACGTGCACGCGATGAAAGCATGACAAATTGCTGTTTGCATAGTACCCCGCTATTACGTATAAAGCACATGAAAATGATTTTCATAAGGAGCTGAGGGCGGCATTGGCTGCCTGAATAGGAAAAATTATAATCTTAGAACGACACGTACCCATCTGGCAAGTTAGGACTAGTGTTCCGATTTTTCAAAATAACCTCTGAAGCATTTGAGGCGCACCCTAATAATTGCCAGCACACGTCTAGTAAATGTGACGCATGTACAGCGTCGCTTTGGCGCATTCAAGCTGGATCATCGATGCTAGGTCAGGTCACAGAGGCCACCAGCGGGATGCAGTCACTCAAACCGCCTGAGGGCTCTAAGTGGGTTCGATCGACCGGGGGCGCCCGAAGTTACTGTTTCAGTTCTCTGGCTGGGCCGTTTTATTTTACCACTTGAAGGTAATCGGAGCGCCATCTCATAACTCGCTTGTTTTAGTTTGTACTGTTCGAATCGCTCTAGAGCAGGCGTCAGTGTTGACAGGTCCCTGTGACACGTTACACTGAGGGACTGAGTATAGAAGCTGCGCGGCTCAAGCCTCTCCAGCTGAATGTGATCCTGCACCTGCGGTCATCAGTGAAGGCTTGTGCGACGGTCGGGCTTTCGAAGGCAGCAGTCCGAAGTTGCACATCTTGTTCTGAATTGCTATGATGCAGTTCACTTTGACTTCGGGTTGACTTTGTGTCGATTAGAGGCAATCATGCGACGCGGTCATATCGGGTCACCAAGTCATGGCAGGCTAACTTAAATATTGACAAACCCGTGATGTCTGCTTTGACAAATTAGTCAACAAACGAACGCATATTGCAAATCAGAAACTACCGAGTGCGTCATGGTAGATCACAGCGGACCAAGCGAAACAGAAAACTGGACAAATCCCATACCGCCTACTGAGGTCACCATTGCAATACGAATGTCATAACTGGCGGAAACACTGGTCGTTGTGAGAGGCGAATCTCCCTACGAAATACACCACGAGGCTATAAATGATAGTATTGATATGTTGGGCTGGAAACGATAAAAAGCGAATGATGACAAACCACGTGAAAACGTTTAAGTCAGTAACAGTTTATTTCAATGAATGCACACTGACCTGGTCTTGAAATGACTTCAGCCTGAGCTGAAATGACACTGAACCCTGACCGCTGCTAAAATGCCATCATTTTCCCGCCGCAGAAGAGGCTCTCTCATTTCAGCGTTCGTCAAATTTGCTCATTCAAAACCAGCGTCTCTCATTCCAACGTCCATCAAATTTGCTCATTCAAAACCAGCGACAAGATGACAACACATGCGCGCCACTTTTGTCGTAACTATAACGCTGTTTCAAATCCGGTAAACTCGCCGCCGCCTGAGTGGTGAAGTGGGTCGGAGCTCCTCAGCTCCATCGGGCGCGTTCATCGCAGGCTTTTCTCCGCCGGCGGCTGTGTACGAGTGGCCGCTCGGCCCCGGCGGTCGTGATTTGCAGGAGCGGCCGCGGCACACTCTGATGCCGCTTTCTGCAGCCGTCCCAGGCGGTGTCACTTGTCCCCCTTTGCCGGCCTTGACTTCGGTGCGGGTGCAGCAGTCGAGTCCAGCTCTCGCCGCCACTGCAGTCACCCGCCGGGCCAGCTCCCGCCTCCCCGTGCGGCGTCGGCCGCGACAGTCCGGAGCGGGGCGCTCCCCGCAACGCTATTGGCTCCCGGCCAGTCTGAGAGCGCTCTCGAGGCACGACGCGATCAGAAAGCTGAGCTGGGCCCGCAGCGCGCGCTGCCCCCGAAGTGCAGGCCACTGCGGTAGTGCCGCCAGAGGAGCATAGTGCTGCTAGGGAATAACGCTCACGTCGCTCGTTGCGGCTCATGCCATGTAAACCAGCCTACCAGTCGCACTGGGTCGAGAAACTTCGCGACGATCTTTTGATAGCTGTTACCTTTTATCACAGTTGATCATTCACCGATATTATTGAACAAACGAGATAAATGGTCGAAGCGCGCGCAGCTGAACTAGCGTCCGGCCATCGCGCTCAGGAGGATTGTACTGGCACGTGCCTGCAGGCTGCGGGCTCGGGAGGATTGTACTGGCACGTGCCTGCGAGCTGCGGGCTCGGGAGGATTGCACTGACACGTGCCTGCGGGCTGCGTCGGACATTGTATTTACAGGGCTGTTGTGTGACCTAACGAGATCAGAGTGACAAATACCGCTGAACAGGGCCTTAAGTTGCCAGAGTGATTCAATGAGTGGGAATTGAGAACAGGCCGCAGCTTTGTATCCGGCCCGCGTCTGCACCGGACCCTGACTCACTGCGTGTGAGGCGTCCCAGCGGGATGAACTCGCTATCTCCCCGCCGGTCGCTCTGTGGACCGCCGACCCCTTAACCCCACGGTCATGTAGCCGGTAGCGACGAGCACTCTGAGTCAGCGCCGCTGACCGCCACATCTGACGACAGTGATGACTGGCCGTGACGACTGTGAGGCCTATGTGGCCACACTAACGCGCCAATCTTGGATGCTTCCTTGCGATCTGGTCACTATGGCATTCCATGGTTCCGTGTCGTATAGTATCGAGATGCATATATGTCACGTGTGTGATACGACATTGGCTCTTCTGAAGCGACACACTTCATTTACTTCTGGTGACCAAAATAACGTTCCATCCCGTGCCACCCGCGGCAGCTGACCGCAATTGTCAATTGTCAGTTGGCAACGACAGTAATCTTGGATGAACACGGTGAGACTCTGTGCGGCGTGATTCATATGGCCTGGAGACCATTCATTCTCCGTGGAGTGTGATCTAGCGATCACGCCAACGCTCCCGTAACACTGACGTGACCACTGTGACGTCCCGTCACGTGTACTCTGATCGTCACAGTGACGCTCAGCCCGGCGTGATCCGATGGCACGTGACATTCCGCCCAGCGTGACCTGACCGCCACAGTGACACTCAGCCCGGCGTGATCCGATGGCTCGTGACGTTCCGCCCAGCGTGACCTGACCGCCACAGTGACACTCAGCCCGGCGTGATCCGATGGCTCGTGACGTTCCGCCCAGCGTGACCTGACCGCCACAGTGACACTCAGCCCGGCGTGATCCGATGGCTTGTGACGTTCCGCCCAGCGTGACCTGATCGCCAGTGACAATCCGCCCGGCGTGATCTGATCGCCACGCCATTCCGCCCAGTGTGCTCTGATGGCTTCAGTGACACTCCGCTAGGCGCGATCTGATGGCTTCAATGACAATCCGCCCAGCACGATCAGATCGCCAGTGACACTCCACCCAGCGTGATCTGATTGCGAAAATGTCATTTCGCCCAGTGTGATCTGGTGGCTTCAGTGATACTCCATGCCACCAAATACGATGCAAAGCCTCAAACAATTGACCAAGGTTGCAAACTCTGGGTTTGCCGCGGCGTACAACCAGCAATGCGTGCAATGCGTGCAGCAACCTGTTCAATAAATACTCCAATGTATATATATATATATATATATATATATATATATATATATATATATGCGTGCGCACGTGCGTGTGTATCTGGCGCACAGCGGCTGCTGTACCGGCCGCCCAGCCAGCTTGTGACAGCGCCACAATAGACGCCATACTGGCTATACTCTGACCGAACAAGCCAGCCTCCATCCGCTCGCCGCCCACCGAACCGGCCACCAGTGAAAACAGGCCGCAGCCAGCCTGCTTGCCAAACCGTGTATTGCGAACCGATTTGGCGATGATAATGATGAACAGAGCGATGACGTGGCGTTAAGACCATCCCGGAAGGAGAATGGATAGTTCCGATATGTCCAGCGAACAGCACTCCACCATTGCGCGCGCAAAACATGCACTCTCTGCTCCCGTCACAATCACAGAGCTCAGGGGAGCCGGCCCTCTGCCACTCCCGACGTCTTCACTCCGCCGAGCGACCCTCCCCGCCGCCGGCCTCGCTCCGACCAGCACGCGGGCCGGGCGGGACAGCGGCCTGACCCGCCGTGGGACAGCCGTCCGGCGTCCACCCTGCGCCGCGATCTATCAGCCGACGGGCGGACCCTGACCCCGGCGCTGCAGCCGCCCGGCCGGGGGGCAGGGGTCAGCCGCCCGCCGCGCCGGCCGCTCCGCACGGACCACCAGCGACGGCCGGCCACTCAGCTGTTGAGCACCATCATGCGCGGCGCGATGTTCATCGACATGAGCTCCTGGAACAGCAGCTTGCACGCGTACGGGATGCGCACCTGCGAGATCTGCGGGCAGGGGCGGCGCCGTGTCATAGACGCACAGACACAGACACAGACACCACCGACACCGACAAACAAACAAACAGACAGACAGACAGACAGACAGACAGACAGACAGACAGACACGCACGCACGCACGCACGCACGCACGCACGCACGCACGCACACGCGCACGCGCGCGGAGACAACGCAGCCGGCGGCGGCGGCGGCGGCGGCGAGCCAGGCACGGCGTCTGAGCCCCCTCCCTCCGGACAAGCCTCCGCCAGGCTCGGGATCAGATGAACATGTGGCGTCCCGGCGAGGGTAACACGTGTCAGCTCTTGGCCGGCAGCGGACCGGAAAGGCGTGATCGTCACGGGCCGGCCATTACACAGCCACGCGACACCGGCGGCAGGAGACGGGCAGCTCCGGCGGCGGTGGTGGCGCCCTCCCGCCGGCACGCACCTGAGTCTTGTTCTTGCAGCCCTTGCACTCGAACGTGTTGTTGCGAAGGTTGGCAATGCAGATGACGCCGCAGAAGTTGCAGACGTGCACGCGGTACGGGTCGCTGACCTCGAACAGGCGCTCGCGCAGGAACTGGGCGGCGCCGTGCGCGATCTGACAGTCGCGCTCCATCTCACCGAACCGGAGCCCGCCGTCCCTGTTGGGCACCGGTCGCCGGTCACGCGGTGCGCGTCACGACGCGTGCGTGAGCAACACGTAGGCCTTGCCAACCGACCAGTTCATGGACCGTAGCGGCAATAGCTTACGGGGCATCAAGCCTCCTTTACCGGCACCTCATCACCGGCCAGGCGACACCATCACAGATCACTAGGTAACCAGTCACAGATCACAGGTGACGGTCCGCCGGCGGCCCGTCCTCGCCGCTCCGAGCCAGGAGGACGGACGGCTGGCACGGCCGGCGGCGAGCGTTCCGGGGCCGACAGGAGCCGCTCACCTGGCGCGGCCCTCCATCGGCTGGCGCACCAGGATCTGAACGGGCCCGCGCGCCCGAGAGTGGATCTTGTCGTCCACCATATGCTTCAGACGCTGGTAGTAGGTGGGCCCGAGGAAGATCTGCGCCTGCATCTTGCGACCCGTGTGGCCGCAGTACATGATCTGCGGGGGCGGATGAAGGCAGAGGGGGGGGGGGGGGGGGCAGACTGAGTCAGAGCAGTGTCGGGGCTGCGACGGCCGAAACCCCGCTGGACGCTCCACCACAGCGGGAAGTGACGACGCCCAGCCGCGATGAGCTCGATCTCACCACGTCGTGTGAGGACGGACCACGGACACAGTCAGGGAACCGCGATCAAAGGCAATGCAACGCTCCTGGAAAACAGCATGCTATTTTGCGCTTGCTACCTTCATTTTCCCCATTGCAAATAGTAGCTACATGCCTTTCGAGATCACTCACGTCTGATCTGAATGGCCTGTCCAGCATACAGCATCGCACCAGCTCAGCGAGGTGACACTATCGACATACGCCCGCCAGTTCCCGGTAGAAGGCAAAGCTGATGGTGCGACCCGCTCCGCCCGACGCCGCCCGACCGACCGACTGTGCGGGCTGCCCCGACTAGCGAGGTCAGGCGGGCTAGGGCGGACGGGCGCCGGCCGTACCTCGTTGCCTCGCAGGTGGTATCCGTAGTCTTTGAGCAGCTCCGACACCTTCTGCACGTTGACGGCGTCGTTAAAAGGCGTGGCGTCGCCGATTTCGCCCTTGTTCGCCGAGACCTGTGTGAGAATTAAAAGACGGTTTTAAATGGCCTTCACCAGATCTGTCCCACAGGGCCTGGAGGAGCATCTAAGACGGGCGACATAACGCCGCTGAGGGTGGGAACACTGTAGCGCTGTGCAGAACAGCACTTGCCTGCTCCGATCACAGCGGGTCGGGGGGTTAACGTTGCAGCAGGATTTCTCTCGTCGACAGCGCGCCCTACGTGCACCAGCGCGGCGTCCGCCGCGACCCGTCCTCACCTTGCCCTGGAGGCACTCGATCAGATGGCCGATGGTCATCCGAGAGGGGATGGCGTGCGGGTTGATGATGATGTCGGGCGTGATGCCCTCAGACGTAAACAGCATGTCCTCCTGCCGGAACTGGATACCGCACGTACCTGCCGGCGCGGCGGCGGCCGTCACACGGCTGCTCACTGTGGCACCACGTGCTACCAGACACTAGACAAGGGGAGACAATACACAGCGGGAGACACTAGACAATGGGAGACAATACACAGCAGGAGGCACTAAACGGCGGGAGACCATACACAGCGAGAGACAATACACAACAGGAGACGATACGCAGCAGGACACAATACGCAGCAGGAGGCATGGCAGCTGTGCTGGCCGCACGCCGCCCACGCTATGTGTCTCAGGCGACACGCAGCGTTACGGCGGACAGCCGACCATCAACCGGCGCCATCCGCACACGAATATCGCACCACAAAATCTCTTACAGGATTCCCACAAACAGGAGCCGTCTGCGATTCTAACGGCCATAACGATTTGTGGGCCTTGCGCCAAAACAAACCGAGCGTGCGGACAACGCTGACGGTGACCCAGCGCCGGCTCCGTGCGGGCAGCTGAAGCCCGCGCGGCGGCCGGGCCTGACGCCGCTCACCCTTCTGCCCGTGCCGGGAGGCGAACTTGTCGCCGATCTGTGGGATCCGAATGGAGCGCACGCGAATCTTGGTGAACTTGTAGCCGTCGTTGTTGAGCGTCAGCATCACCTGGTCGACGATGCCCGTCTCCGAGTTGCGGAGGAAGGTGGAGGCGTCTCGCTTGGTGAACCGCTTGGCCGATCCCTCCAGCTGCCGGCGGGCGCCGCGGAGGTGAGACGCGCTCGCGCCGACGAGGGCACACGGACGCCGTACATAGAGGCTCCGCCACCCGCGGCTCGCAGTGGCGCTCCCCTCAGCCACGACCACGCCTTCAATTCGGCTATGGAGGCAACGATACACAAACCTAACACAAACCCACCAAACCATACGGGCCAGCGTGTAAAGAGCACACCGACTCGGAACACGACGTCCCGTCCGCCGGCAGCGGCGCCACCAGCCGACGCCGCGCACCCACCTCGTCGTCATTCTCGGGCAGCACGATTGTCTTGCCGATGATGACGTCATCGCCGGAGACGCGCACGCCCGGCGCCACGATGCCGTCATCGTCTAGCTTCTCGTAGATGGCGTTGCGCATGCCCTGACACGTGTCGCGCGACGGCCGCTCGAACGTCTCCTCCTGGTCTCCGATCTTCTTCGTCTCGGCGTCCTGTCCGCGACCGGTGGTGACGTCACAAGACGGGACGGTGACGTCACACAAGGGAGCTGGGACACAGCGGCCGTCGTGATCATGCGTTGGGAGTTAACGCTCGTCGCGTTGGCCGGTGGTAAACTCAGCAATGCGAGGAGCTCACACGCAGGCGGCAAAAAGACGGGTGAAGTATGGCGAAAAGGCGCGTATCTGGTGGGCACAGTCACCACCCGCGAAATCCAGCTATGCACACCGAATCAACTACGCTGCTCCTGGACAAATACAGACCGCTCCGTGGTTTAGTTTACTCGTGCGCTCATCACCCGGCAGCAAACCACCGGTCGACTGAGCTCCGGTCACCTCCCTGACCGCGTCTGTCGAGGCCCCGGTTCCGGTTCCGCGCGGCGGTCCGCACCGCGCCGGGCCCACCTTGTAGCTGCGGTAGAAGCAGGAGCGGAAGAAGCCGCGCTCCACGGCCGAGGCGTTCATGACCACCGAGTCCTCCTGGTTGTAGCCGGTGTAGCAGGCGATCGCCACGATCGAGTTGATGCCGGCTGGCAGCTCGCGGAAGCGCAGGTACTCCATGCTGCGCGTGGTCACCAGCGGCTTTTGCGGGTAGAACAGCACGTGCGCCAGCGTGTCCATGCGCACGTGGTAGTTGGTGATGTACACGCCCATGGCCTGCTTACCCATGGCGCTCTGGAACGGGGGACGAGCACGCGTGAGCGGCGGCCCGGGCGAGGCCAAGCACGGCGGGAGTGCGGTCCAACAATGCGGAAGCGTCGGCAGCGGCCGTACAACATAGAAACACTGTGCATCACAAACTGCGGGGCGACCTCCAGGAATCACTACGCACGGAAGCAGTGGTCACGTGACCTCAACGCCATAATCCCTGCCAGTGTCTGTCGGTCAACAGCACTCTCGCCTGTTTACCAATAATTCGGGACCCAGTCGCTTGTCGGTCAACATAACACTCGACTATTTACCAAAAATACGGATATGCGATGCTACCATGTCATACAACGGAGGATATAGAGTCTTCCCGTCGCCAAAGTTATCAGACTGGCCCGAATCCCATGGCGTATAATCGTAAACACTCAAAAAGCGTGACAAAATGTACCGCACACTACTATCTCCACCACCTTATAAGAAGCCCCATACTTTTTCATTCAAGATGAATAATCTTCCATTGAGATCACACCTGTCAGAGATAACGTCAACTGCATTTTGCATACCAGTGCCAACTTACATTCGCTGCTGGCAGAGCATGCATTTTTGCGTTCTGTTTTACAGGATGTACACAGTTCTCAGGGTAAGATATTGCCTGCGCAATAAGAGTTTTAGCTAAGTTATGGACGTGCGAAAATGAAAACCACGCCGTAAGCATTTGTCATGAAATATAACTTGCGAAACGAGAGTATGTCTTCCCAAAAACAGTGAAATCGCATTATGCCAGTGACGACTAGACCAAACCCAATAGGGAAAAGGTAATACTTATCCAACTGCAGCCTAATGGACACATAAGTCAGGCCCTGAATTTAAGTTTGCCGTGTGTTTGTGGAGCATTGCTTTCCAGCTTTCGAGCAGTAAATTAACTGACAGTGGTAAGTTGATGATGAGCTTTGACTTAAGACTTAATCCTGCTTCCCTGCCAGGACACCAAGCAATATCTGCGGGTGGCGTATTCAATGGGAGCGATTTGAGCATAGTTTTTAGCATACGATATTACAATATTCGCGGACCGGGCTGGGCATACACATAGTATAATGGTATGATGGAATGTAAACATTTTCACCGTCCCTAGTGCAAAGTTGTTAATAATTTTGCGGTCAGATCAGCCGCAGCAACCGACATTTTCGCCAAATTACGTAACATAACACACCAGGAACTCGGCAACGTAGTTTTGGGAGGTGCCTTTTCGACTTTTTTTGCTGCGGCGCTGGGGATACTGGAGATACAGCGGGAGGAGTTAATGCCTACTGGGCATGACCCTCAAACGCAATGTCATGCCACAGCTCACATCAACCGCTGGGAAACTGCAGGAAGCACGTGCAATAAGCCCCCAGTTATTCCAATACCGTCTTCCCGCCATCACGGCACGCGTACTGCATACATCTCGTGACAACAATGAACTATATATTGTAGGTCTCTCAAAGATGTAATAATTTGTGACACAAGGATAAAGCATGCTCGATTTGCTCTACCAAACGTTCCTAACAACGATGTACGAAATACGACTGTACAACTAACGATGCCGCATTTCACGTGGAAAAGCTACTGTGGCCCCGATTCGGTGAAGGTGAGCAACTGGCAAAAATCCCATCCAAAAGAGGCCTTGGGTTTGAAGCAAAGATATTGAGAACGATTGCAAGCCACGAAACCTTCAAAGTGCGTGGGAAACTGACTGCTTTCAATCAGGCACGATACATCACAGAATGGCAAGTGAAAACAGCCGACGAGGATGGGATTCGAACCCACGCGGGCAGAGCCCATTGGATTAGCAGTCCAACGCCTTAACCACTCGGCCACCTCGTCCGTTGGCAGCCCGGGCTCCAACATCGAGGCAAATCGTACGATACAGCAACAGCAGCCTAACACCGATGTAATAAGCGTGCAACATGGCATCTGCATGGTTTTTAAGATTTCTTCTTGACGATCACTTCCTGTCTCCTACCGCCAGAACCAAGAAGCATGCAAAAAACAATTGGAAATCCAGCCGGAGCGGCAGCAAGAACCAGAATCCAGCGTAACACTACATCGAGACATGGCAAGAACGAGGATGACATGTGCCTGGGTCTCAAAGGTGGATACAGGATGCCACAGTCTTCTATCCTTATGACACTCTGGTATATTTTGTGGGGTCCTAGGCACATGTCTGCAAGATCTGGCTCAGAATATGCATAGGGATCTAGCAAATATCAAGACTTAGCCTGGAATTATGCCGACGGGTCGAACAAGAACAAGTAAATATGACGGCACATTAGCCGAATATTTTTTTATTTCAGACGCCATATCTTCAGTGGCATCCCATGATCTCGGGCTGCTATCCCGAGCTGGTGCTAAGGAACAAGCCAATCAGAAGCAAACAAAGAGTTCTAATGTTTTGTGAGCTTACGAATGGAAACCGCAACCAGGCTCTGGCCTTTGTGAATGAGCCAGTGATGGCTTGGAACCGGTGAGTGATGCCTGTGAAAGGACCAATGGGAACCAGGGTGTGTTTTGTGTAGAAAGCTGACAGGAACTAAGAATCATGGTATATTGCCAGTGAAGCAGCGAATAGGAACCACCTGCCCATGTCTTTTTTAATGAACCAATGATGGCCAGGGACTTGAGCCCGCTGTTTGCAAAACCGGTGGGATCCGGTAACCCCGGGCTGAGGTTTATGAGGGAGCCAGCAGGAGCCGGGATCCGGAGTCTCGTCTTCATGACGGGGTACTGAGAATAGGCCGGAACAGACTCATGGGGGGGGGGGGGAGGGGGGCGGACAAACAAGTCACGACCCCGCAAGATGACCCAAGCTGGGCAAACATCTGCTCAATTTAGAATTCGAGTCAGCTTTTGAAAATCGTCAGCCCACCCCCACCCCTATCCCGAAGGCGGCATTCTGAACCCGGCCTTGGGGCCAAGAACTACCGCTGGCAGCCCGGCACATGTGTGCACGTGACGCATCGCCAACTGAGCAGGATGGCTTGCAGATGAGCCAGCCAGGGATCGAAGACCGGGCAGACGGATCACGTACTGGTGACCTCGGCGCCCACGACCAGCAAACGAGACAGACATTCTGCACACGAAGGCGGTCAGCAGCATATTCGGAAGTGGCGACCCCCACAGAGATCTCACTACGCTGAGTACGCCCTTCGTTACGAAACACACACGGCCTTAATAATTTTATCCGACAAGGATAATAATCCGGCACTTAAAAAGAGGCACGTCGGGAAAAGGAACCTTGTCCCCCCCCCCCCCCCCCCCCCCGCCTATCCCGTCTTCCGTGGCGGAGCACCGTCAGTCCCCCACATAAATACAGTGGCTAGGTTAACAAACCGCGCCACACCAGAGTGCGGAAAACGGGGTGCTTATGACGACCGGGTTGAATGCAAAAGCGTACATAAGTTGCATTATACGGGACAATCAACTGTATATACTGTGCACCCAAATTGCAAGCAGTATTTTGTTATCCGCTCCCTGGCCTAAAACACGATTAAATATCGACAAGCCTAATATCTACCAAACATCATCCAAGCATAACTTGACGTGCCTAACATCTACAATACATTACCCAACCATAACGCAGACATCTCAGCCCGATGGGGAGAATCCACGAGACCCTCTTACTTGTCATCAAAATCATATGTCATCAAATTTCGACACGAATCCTTGAGTGCAAAAATCCGATACACCCTAAAACATATTGCCTGACTTGCCGAGAAATTGGCTATTCCTTATGCGGAATACCAATGCGGGACCAGGGCGCAGCCAGGATTTGCGAAGGGGGAGGCTTCCAGGATTTGTTACGGAAGTGAATCATTTCAGGATCAAGTCCCAGCCCATTCGCAGAGTTTACGCACTGCGCGCAAACTGCAGGGACTAGAAATGCTACTAGGTACAGCGCCTGACGTATCGATGGGCAGCCGATGCTAGTCCGTCCTGGCGCCCAAATTATCTCAGCTGCGTGCTGAACATGTGTGTAAGGTAATATGAATATTATAGCCACTAACAGGAATACGGCTTCCTATTCAGCTGGAAAGGCCCCCGCCTCCCCACGCCCCAACATGAAAAAGGGTCAAACTCAGGGAGAAACACACTTTTGGATACAGTTTGGGGTGGGTGTACCCATTTTCTCCCCTCAACCTGCTATCTTAACTTATTCCGCGCAACTACGTCCCTGTCCTCTGGGCTATGCGCTGACCATGTCATCTGGCAATTGAACGCAACATGCCACTGCCCCTGAAAGTCACTGAAGTGCAAGGCCGAAATATCTTTCCTAATTGCGGACTTGTGCTGTTGTGGTGAAGAAAAAAGCGCTTGTTTCTTACGGGGGCGGCGGGGGGGGGGGGGAGAGATACAGCCCCATGTGCCCCTCCCCAGGCCGCGCCTATGGTCCGGACGACCAGCTCTAACCCTAATATATCAAACCTCACCAAGTCACGCTCGGTCCCCTGTGCAGCCGGATGTCTTGTTACCGAGAGGAACGGACAATTCCTACAGCTGGATGCCTATTTGCGAATGCGATATCTGCATTGCGCTGTAGTTCAGCCGCCGTAACAACTTGACCAACAAAAACATCTATGCTCCCAAATGGCCCAAAAACGCCAAAACAGACAACGCCGTGCGCTCGTGGCAGGCGGCGAGGGAGCTGCGCCCGATACTATTGCGCGAGGGGTCCAGTTCATCTCCATAATCCCGCTAAATTTCAAGCATCTTCAGCACCGGTCGTCTTCACAGAAAAAGTAAAATAATAGTAATACCAAAGCCAATAGCACGCCTGACCCAGCCGTCGGCAACATTTGCTCGGCCATCGGCGACAGACCAACCCGGCAACGACCATACCACGCTGAATACGCCGTTCCCGTCCGATCGCTGAATTAAAACAGCACTGGGCCTGGTTGGGACGATAAACGGATAAACGACCGGCTGGGAACAACGGGGGAAGTTGTCGGTTTTGTACCATAGTTTTGGTAGCAACCAGCTGGACCCGTCGGCTTTTGGCCGGCATCCCCCGTCCGCCGACAGGTTGCCCCGTACAAAGGCTGAATGGCGAAGCACCGCGCGTCAAATCGGTCGTTTCTCATGACAAATGAAAATGCCTGCCATCATGTCAGTGCGTAAGTAAGCTATCAAACTATAAGAGCATCAAATGCGGATGAACTGCTAATGCGGAGGATTGATCCAGGCATCAAGAACATGATCTTGTGAATGTGAGTGCCACCCGATCTCCTTTCTGTCGCCTTCCTAACCGGTGGCCAAAAGTTTACCAAGACAACCGGTTCCTGAGCTGAGCCAAAACCACTCATGGGCCGCCATAACCACAGCCTATGACCACCATAACCACAACCTGCCAGAGCCGGTCGTTCATTCCGCGCCTGGCAGCGCAGGGCGAGCCAGCCTGGCCGGCCAAGCACCCACCTGGTACGTGTTCCTCGGGCTCTGGTTGTGATCGGGGAAGGGGATGATGGAGGCGCAGACGCCCAGGATCATGGCGGGGTGGATCTCGCAGTGGGTGTAGGTGGTGCAGTAGACGTTGTCCTTCTCGCCGCTCAGGTCGTCCGGCGTCATGGCGATCATGGTGGTCTCCTCCTCCAGGCAGTCGATGTACTCCACCACGCCGGAGGCCACCAGGTCGTGCCAGCTGGTCGGACGGCCGGCCGCGTCAGACTCACGCGAGAACGGACGGCAGGCTTCCGGTGCACACCATATTTCAAGAGAAGGATGTCGCAGCGTTCAGCGGGCCTGTCGCACGGTAGGGACGAGGCCCCAGCGGGCGGGACGAGGCCTCAGCGGGCAGGGACGAGGCCCAGCAGAGATGAGGCCCCAGCGGACAGGGACGAGGCTTCAGCGGGCAGGGAAGAGGCCCCAGCAGGCGGGGACAAGGCCCCAGCAGGCGGGGACGGGATCCCAAGGACGGGGACGAGGGCCTAGCGGGCAGGAATGAGGCGTCGGCAGGCGGGGACGGGCAGCAGCAGCAGCCGCCGCTGGTCCGCTGCGACGTAAACTAGCACGCGGCACACGAGGGTCTGAGGTAATCAGCGGTTGTGCTGTCTGCGTGACTCCCCGTCCACGTGAATGCTTCCCATGCGAGAGAGGCCCAAATCACTACACCGAATACACGCAACCAGAGTTCCCCAAACATTTAATCACGCTTCAACGGTCTACATCGGTAAAAATTGACCCTTTCGGCGGATTGTTCGCAAAGTGCCTATAACCCCTCACCGCCGTCCCTGCGACCAGGTGAGAAGCAATGGGGGGGGGGGGGGGGGGGGGGGAGGAGAGCATGCCCGAGCTGGACGCCAGACCCCGGCGTACCTGTAGTTGTTATACTCCCGCTCCTTCAGCATGTCGATGTGCCGCTTCTTCAGCAGCAGCTGGCCCTTCTCCACGATGAGCAACGGCCGGCAGATGCGGCCGGCGTCCGTGTAGATGCGGATCTCCCTGTCCCGGATGTCCCGCACCATGCACACCTGGGGACGGCGGGCGGTCACGGCCGGCGGAACATGCTGATCAGCTGCATCCCAGTACCACCGGCACCGGCCATCAGCCATGCCCCCCAAAGTTCCGATCCTCCCCGAGGGTCGCCTGGTGAAGCACATCCACGATCCGTCCACACGGCTGGTGCCCGTCGCCAGCCCGTAAGGATCGCGGCTCGGGTACGGGCTCTGACACGGCGCGCCAGTCCCACCTCTGACACGATGATGTCCATCTGGCGGCGCAGCTTGCGCAGGGTGGTCATCAGCTGTTCCGGGTCCCGGTGGATCCCCACCCAGCAACCGTTCACGAAGATCTTGGTGGCGCTGCGGATGAGCAGAGGCCGGATTAAGCACCTCAGCTATGCTGACGGTGTGACACTCCTTCCGAGACCCTTTTGTGAGCGATATTTCTGTAACCACCGGTCAGGCAAATGGGAGCGCATCTTCCACATTTCTGATCATATAAATGTTTGGTAAGCGAACAACAATGGAGCAATACCGTGAGTTAGCTAGGAACCTCATCAAACAACACAGCAATATGTAGTGAATGTTTTGATTTTCAGTGACTTTCAGATAAACAATGACATCCACCTGCGACACGGCCACACAATGCGGTCCTTCACAGCCGGAGCATGGAGGAAAAACAACACATGAACGCAACAAATTCCGCATAAGACAACGCACTGGCACAAATCCAGCATCAGCGTCCTATTGCCGGCCCTAATGAGATGGCAGTATCGCCACAGTAAACGCGACAGCAGCACTGAGCGGCTACACCAGTGCCGTAGACGGCCGCCCGTCTGTCTGGACACTGACTCGATGATGGCGCTGGGCGCGATCTCCTCCAGGTTCTCCATGCTCCACTCCTCCAGGAACTCGAGGATGGGAGACGGCTGCGAGCCGACCGAGATGTAGGCCATCAGCGCCAGGTTCTTCACCAGACCTGGGAGCCGCCACACACGCGTCCGTCAGTCCGCCGCGGGCGCGGCCTGAGCGTCATCGGACGGGCGGCGGCGGCGGCGGCCGGCCCGGCGCCGCCCCCACAACTGCAGCATCCGATCCACTGCAGGCAACACTCGTGCTGACACGGCGCTTCACGCGATAGGGAGCGAGCGGTGGGAGCCGCCAACTGATCAACAGCGGCGACGACAGCGGCGAGCACCGGCTGAACAGAACACCGGCAGGCGCATCAGCGGCTGCCCTGACCGACGGGACGCGGAACTGACCGACGGCGGCGCCCTCGGGCGTCTCGGCCGGGCAGATCATGCCCCAGAGCGTGTTGTGCAGCTGGCGCGGCTTAGCCAGCTTGCCGTCGCGGCCGATCGGCGAGTTCACCCGTCGCAGGTGGGACAGCGTCGAGGCGAACGTCAGCCGGTTCAGCACCTGCGCGGCGGCGGAAGAGTTGACACGGCACGTCACCACCCGGCGACATGGTACGCTCGCCACCGACTTCGCAACATCACTCGCCACTGTACTGTTTTCGGTGGCCGCAAAAGCGCATCCGCGACAGCGGGCTTCCGTTATTATTTCGAACGCTGCGGCCCCATACCAGGAGCGACAGTACGCCAGGGACGGGGATACCATCCCTGATCGCCACGGCGAGCGTTATAACGCCGTGCACTCCGCTTCGATTGCCACCGACAAAACTGGCCGCCCCGCCTGCACGGTTCGTCGCTCACAACACCACTCTCAACGGCGCAATGACTCCTGATAGTAACCGAAACAATATAGCGCCTACTCCCCCGTGGTCAGGCGTGCGAGCAGCGCGCCGCCCGGATTGGCGTTCCGGTCGGCAGCCGGCGTGGTCCTCCGTTCGGCGCGCCGCCGCGGCCCGGCCGCCGCCACTCGCCTGGGAGACGCCGGCGCGCGCCTGGTGCGCCTTCTTCTGGTCACCCCAGTTGCCGGTGGCCAGTGAGTACTTGAGGCCGTCCGTGATGGTGGAGGTCTTGACGGCCAGGTGCAGGCCAAAGTCTTTGCCGTTGTCGATGAATTTCTGGGCGTACATGCGGACCTCCTTCAGCAGGTTCTTGAACAGCCTGAAAGCGGTGCGCCATCATTGGAGGGCTCCGAAACATAGTAGCATGTGACTCCGGGCTGCTGAATTCACCATCAAACAATATCATCTGTAGCGCGCATAGTAGATAAGTACACATCGTCTTACTAATATATGATACAAAATTACTGGTCAAAAATCGCTTAACCATGGGTAATGTGCCGAAAAAGGATGTTTGGCCTACGCAAACACAGCACTTGACATCCAACGAGCTCTGCAGACTGTAGGTCATAGTCCAAACCACGCAGGAAACGTTGCTGCAGGACAGCTTGACGAGTTTCGTGGCCGGCCGGCCTGGCGGACGCCGCGGCGCCCGAGCGGCTGCCGTGCCGTGCGTACCCCCTGAAGAGGAAGGCCAGCAGCGGTCCGGCCAGGTCCAGCCGCTTGTTGCCGTAGTGATCACGGTCGTCCAGCTCGCGCCGGCTCAGCGAGGCCATCAGCAGACGGTGCACCATGTACCTGAGGCCACCGACCGTACCCAGGTCACGGCCGGCACGGCGCGGACGGCACGAGGTCAACAGCTACACCCCAGCCCCAGGGCAGCCGGCGCGAATACTGCTCAACACTATGGCACTAAACGATCATTAACTCTGTGTATGGTTTAAGGTTGTCCCGCTTAACGCATGCCGACGAAAAATCGGGCAATGTCGAAAAAAGCGTGCCTACCCGAGGAAGTAAGCCTTCTTGGTCTCGCAGAAGTCGGACACGCCGACGTGGGGCAGCATCTCCTTCTGCAGGATCTCGCGCGCGTACTTGATGCGCTTCTCCTTCGTCACGCCCGGCTTGGCTCCGCGAGCGCCGATGAAATTGAGCGCCACGTTCTGCTCCTGGATGACGAACGCCTCGTCCAGCGAGGGCTTCACCTGGAAGCACCGAACGGACGCGACTAACGTCTCGCCCGGCCACAGGGATTGCCCTGCCCCTGCCGAACATCACAGTCGGTACCGGGCCGGCCGCGGGGGCCCTATCGCACCATCACCGCCCATTCCACCCACCATCTCCATCATCTCGGGGTCGTCGAAGTCGTAGATGATGTGCTCGAGGATGTCCCGGTCGGCGACGAAGCCCAGCGCTCGGAAAACGATCATGATCGGGATCTCCTGCTTGATGTACGGCAAGATGGCGATGATCCGCTGACCGATCGCAGACTTCTTCACGTTCTGGAAAACAGGCAGTGGTCGTCTTGGAGACACAGGCCGAATCGTGCAATGGCAGCCATCGCGAGCACGAGCAAGAGCAAAACGACGACGGTATTGCACGTGGGCGTCGAGTTTGACGCGTCGTAGATACAGGCATCTGCACACGCGCAAATTGCTAAGAACCTAACCTAACCTAACCTAACTAAGATGAATCAATTCCAAAATGAGCGTTTATTAAATTATGGCGCCACCAAAAAACGAATGACACAATTTCAACTTTTGAACCAGTTTCGAACAAGTTAAATGATGCGCACAGCAACGTGTTTTGTGATTGAGATGGTGCTACCACGTGACCCATTTTAAGTTGTACTGATTTGCTTCCAATTATATATCGAAAACGACTATTACTTCTGGACTCATATGTGTGATGTCAGGATGATGATGATGATGATGATGATGATGATGATGATGATGATGATGATGACGTCATGTATGATATCTTAACTCAGGTGCCACCTCGACACCGACACGCGTGCTACAACGGCCGACGGTAGCACGGCCGGGGGCCAGGCCTTTGCGGAGCATCACACGAGCCACCTGGACACCAACACACGTGCTGCCGCGGCCGCCCGTAAGACGGCCTGGCGCCACGCCTCTGCGGAGCATCACATGGGCCACCTGGACACCGGCACACGTGCTGCAGCGGCCGTCGGTAAGACTGCCGCTGGCCTCTGCGGCCCACCCACCTGTCCGCTCCTGGCCAGCATGTTGACCCACAGCGTAGAGGTGGGCCGAGACGAGTACTCCACCGCCGAGCGAATCTCCGCCTTGAACGCGTACTTGCCATCCTTCATGCTGAACACGTACACCGTGTTGGTCGCCATTTTCTCTTGGGCGATGAGAACCTGAAGCAAGACAACTTTGTACGTGTGTCTTCCAAGCGCATGGCAAAACAGTAACACGCAACCGATATTTGTATCAAAGGATGCTGGGCCGCTCAAATTCAAGGCACTGTTTTTCGGAATGTTTTTCCAACAACAAAATATGAACCGCATTACCAATGTAATGCCAATGTGCATAAGTGTAGCCCCCAGAACCTGGCATTTGTTTCAAGAAGCACACAGCAGCACAGAGATTACTCACATTTCAGAGCCATATCAACAAGGGCAGTAAACCACGAATCGTAGTCAAGTCAAGTCAAGAGCACAGGGGCATACCTGGCGATCACGACTTTCCATCGCTCCACTTCACGACACCCCCTACCAGCCCCGCCCCGGACCTGGCGGCGCACCGGACCTGGCAGCCGCGCGCGCCGCCAGGTCCTCTGTCCTCTGGCGGCCAGAGTCCACATCGTCGTTCGCCGGCCAGCCCGCGGCTCCCTCACCTTCTCCGAGCCGTTGATGATGAAGTAGCCGCCCGGGTCGAGCGGGCACTCGTTGAGCTGCGTCAAATCGCGGTCCGTCAGGCCCGACAGCAGGCAGTGTGTGGAGCGCAGCATGATGGGGATCTTGCCTGCCGAACACCGCACGGTCGTCTCAGACCTACCACCGAACCATCGCTACGCATCGGCCGGAGCGCGCCGGCACGCACGGGGCACACGACCTCCCGGACGCATACATAACACAGACACGCTCGTACGCACGCACGCACGCGCGCACGCACACACACACACACGCACGCAGCCCATATGTTTCTTATTTGGGCTTGGGGGCGCGTGGACGGCAGCGATCATTCTGAGCGTCAACCTGTTCGCCCCCGCGCTCTCGACGACCTTTGAGCACGCGGCGACGCGCCCGGCCCTGCCGCCCGCGCCGTACCGATGAAGGTCTTCTGCTCCTGTGTGACAACAGGCTGCTCGCCGTCCTTGATGACCGTCTTCGTGATGTCCACGTAGAGCGGGGCCGAGTAGACCAGGTTGCGCAGGCGCGCCTCGTTCGGGAACATGGCGCTCGGCGCGCCATCCGTCTCCCAGTGGGTCGGCTTCGAGAGGTAGATCTGCTCGAACTTCAGCAGGTAGCGCGGCTGGGGAGCACAGCACGCTGTGGGTCACGCGCGGCCCAGACCGTCGCACCAGCCTCGCGGTCCCTGTACATTCCCGGTTTTGGGGGGCTCGAACATCCTATGGTTTGCAACATATCAGCAATGCCTCGTCATTGTCCCAAGGTAAAAATCCTCAAGGCTCCGAAAAAGCAATGCGGGGTACTGATCTGAGGGGTACCATAGCATTCACCTGATACGTAATCACAGTCCTACTGACTGAGCTCTCGAACTCATTATCCCACCGACTGGGCATTGACTTTGACCCATTGACATTGACCCATCATCATACTGCATGGGCTCTAAAACGTATCATCACTGACAAGAATCTAAAGCTACCGCCTCAAAGATTGTCACACCGGACTCAACTGAAGTTTCGAACTCACAGAGTGACTAGTGACGTTAACTCACCACCTCCTTGACCAGCCTCCTGACCTCACCTACTCACTAACTGGCACCACCAACTCCTCATCAGCCGGGGACGCGAGCTCACTGTCCCCTAACTGGAGTCACGAAAACGTCGCTTCGCTGACTGACATCACGAGCGCACCATCACGCTGACTGACTCCACGACCCCACCGTGTACCGTCACGAGCTCATCGTCGCCGTAAACGGAGTCACGACCTCGCCGTCTCACGAACAACCCGGCAACCTCACGGGCGACGCAGCGCTGAACGCCAGGCAGCAGGAGTGCAATGTCTCACACTGGCCGGCCGACCGGCAGCTGGCTCCGCTAGCCGTGCGTGCTCACTGACCGGCGTCTCGATCTCGCCCGAGGTGTGCTGCGCCTCCGCCTGCAGGTCGATGGCCGGCGAGTCCTCCACGATCCGCTGCACCGACATCTGGATGAACTCGTCGAACGAGTCCAGCTGCTGCCGGACCAGGCCCTTCTCGTCGAAGTAGGAGTTGATGACGATCCAGCAGGCCTCCTGCCAGAGCTCCGAGGAGATCTCCTCCTGCTCTTCATCCTCATACATATCTGAAAGGTCATTAATTAAAAATGCTACTGCACACTGCAAATACCACTATACATGAAAGCGGGCAGAAATAACAGGTTGCTGTGATTGCTTTAAAACAACCTTTCACCATAACACCTGCAATTCATTCTCAGTTACAATTCCTGTGCCTGGTAAGGCACATATGAAGAGCTGGCTAAGCAGGACTGAATCTGTGCTCCAGAATGCCAGTCAAGCCTGATGACTACTATACAGTGGCCATTATCTGCACCTAGCCATCAGGTTGCCTCATACTTCATACAGAGTTACCATGTTGAATCACAACCATTGTACATGATAGCCATCACTTTATTGCCAACCCAGAGGATATATGTATAGTGGGCTAACAATGTTTTTGCTTGAGTGGAGGACTCTAGGTCCATGTTGCATATTCATGCTGATTTTTAGATGCCAAAGCACAGACAAGTTAAACCTTTATTGTCTCAATCACTAAACTGAGGTATATTTTTTTGTTCAAGTTTAGGTTGTCTTTCAATAATATAGCATGCATCAACACATATTGAAGCTCTGAAAATCTGCATATATTGTCCATGACTTGAGAGGTGTGCATCAATGTTCCCTCAAGTAACAAAGGCATGACTTGATGCATGTGACTTCAGTGCTGACAGTTCCTAGATACTACATAAGGTGTGAGAGCAACATTGTGTGAATGGGGAAGGCATGGGATGTTTTCTTGTTTTGTGCCACACACTATGCTTTTAGTTTTTGAATGAAAGTGCCAGCCATTATCTGTTTACCACATTTACTATGCCCTCTACAGTATCAAAGGTCAGTCTGCAAAGTGTGGGAAGTTTTAATACTTTGTTGTGGCAACAACAGACCAGAAGCAGCTCATGACTGCCTCTCGAGATTCATGGGCAGCAGCTAAGCATTTGATGCCTTGCACCAATTTATTTTATATGAAGCATATGCTGCCATAGTTTGGGTCTGTGTGTCCATTACAAGCAATTAGCAGATGTTCTGACAGTGGAAATGTACTTTTCCTACATTATACATAAACAGACTTCCTGCTTCTACCATAGCTGATTCAAATGAACCAAAATCTGGAACTGGTGCTGCATATGCTAGAACATAAAACTATGCTGTGTTACACTACAAATGAAATAGGGGTAATCTGCAACATATAGGAAGCAAGGAAGAAATCTGAGCAAAAAATAAGGGCTGCATTGCACATTTTTCATCACCTTAACCATCAAAGTCACACAAGAGAAAAATGATTTGACAAAACATGCAAATAAATGAAGGCAGTAAGGTTTGATTTTCTGATAAAAAGACCTGTGTTTTTTATGACAGACCAACTTGCACAGCATTGTCTCTAAAAGGAGACTTGTGTGCACAGCAAATAAACATGCCCAATGGATTGTGACTAGAAGCACACAGACGTGTGCCCAACCCTGTGCACTATGTCTTCAGAAAGTATATAAGAAAAAGGAATATCTTGTTCATGCTGGCTATAATTTGCAATTGATCACATGCTTATGGCCTCTAAGCCCCATGTCAAACAGTGTTAAACTGATAGATATCTGCTGTAAGATTGCACAGAAAGATGCAATTTAGATGGCAGAATCTGGGCACCTTGTGCTGTTTCCCATAAACTGCAATACCTGCCTAGTGCTATACTCATAATTTATGAATAACTTGTGTCTAAGGACATTGCAGCTTCATGGTTATGCACAATGCTACATCATCATTAATTCCATCTTGGGGAAATGGTTGGAACAATCCATAACACCTTGCAAAATATCAATGCTGACAAATTATGCAAAATATAAATGGTTGGTCATGACAAAAGGTAGGTTTTTAATGAAATCCATGTAAATAAATAGCATATGCTACTGATCATGTCTTGCTTGTCAGCATTAAGGTAAGTCTGCAACTGGAAACTGGATGCACTTGCAACTATAAAATGTCTAAAGCACAGGCCTCTCCTGACAACCTTCTTCAAGAACTGCTTCAGTACTAACATCTGCAAGAAAATTAATCCTGTATAAGATGCTTGCATGTCAATGCACTGCTCCTGGAGTGTGTATGCACCATACTCATAAAAAGCTAAATTGCACTGAATTTTGCTTCTTACATGACAAAATTGTGTGGGGGCACAGAAGTGTCTTACCAACATTATAATTTCTTGGAAACATTGGCTTTATGCAACCTGAAATCAGCGGCAGGAATGCACCAAACTGGGTCTCTGGTATCTACGCCATGCCTGCACTGCAATTACTCCCGGGATGTCGATGCTACGCCGGACATCTTCGGCGTAATGTTCTTTTTTTGTAGTCCGCATGCTAAGTAGCTATAACAGAAATAACTTACCTTCCTCTTCATACATGATTGCGGCTGCTTCTTGCTTGGTTTGTATGCCAGGCACAAATATCGATCCGAAGAACAAAACAAGATCAAGGCAATTGGATCAAATAGATAAGCAACAGTATCGCCTTCCCACTTCCCCCGGCCCTCCAAAACACGCCAACCCCGGCGAACGCCGCAGCGCACTGACGGCGACAGCTGGCACCGCGGCAAGCCTAGGTGAAATAAATCTGCAGGGACTAAACGACGGATAAATCCTACCAACAGCTCAACGCTAATATCTTCTGGTACTGATCGCTGCAAAATATTTCGTTTTCACTGCGGCATCATTGATAACCAGCCGTTGACAGATCATGGTGGCTTTAACCGACTTAAAAATCAAGAAAAGCTTCAAAAACTAAAAAATTACGCAACAGCTCACACTAAACCACCGCCCACAAGCTCGTTCCCAGTTGATGCGCCGTGGCCGTTAAATGTGGCAGAATATCTCTGGAATATCTGTAGAACAGACGTGAGAAAACGACATGAAAAAAAATATGCAGAACAGGTCTGCATTTGTAGAATATGGTGGCCTTGGATCGGGTCGACAGTTACTCAAAACGCCAAAACCCGTTAAGACCCAGCCTTTTGGCTTGGTCGCTACCAGGCCTTAATCAATCGACTCAGCAATGTCGAGAAGCTCATGATGAGGAAAGATGTGGTCTTGGGTCAGGCTGAAGGTGATTAAAGCGCCCGAAGCTGCCGTAATTTGTTGGCAGACAAAGCCATGCTATGCGCCTAAGTGACTGATCGCCATAAAATTGCCTTCATTCAGTGCTGCATGGTCGACAATCTACCGGCCCCAGAACATGGTCACCGTGTGCTAGGCTAAGGGTCATCAAAAACACCTGAAACCGAAAAAATCAGGTTGCCGACAGCCAATTGGTGCAAACCTACGGAGCTGCCTGCTACAAAATATTGAACAACGGGTGCACCATGGTAAATACCTATCTTCGCCAGAACATTGCGACCTTGGGCCAGGTGAAAGGTCATCAAAAAAACACCTAAACACGTCTGAATTGGATACATACAACGTCATGCTCCCAGTCTTTGGGACAGATCGCTACGCAATCTGCGCCATTTAAAGCGACATGGTGAATATCACCCCTGTTCAGAATATGTTGACCTTGATGCGGGCAAAAGGTTGCCAAAAATGTCAAGTTCATAAAATACTTGAAGACAGCTCTCTGCACTAGGTCTATGGAATTTCAGATGGGACCTATCGCCTCAAAATAATTGTCCATTCTCCATGCAGCACGGTAGATGACCTATCTTTTCAGACCATGGTGACCATTGGCCAGGTCAAAGGCCACACAAAAGGAATTGCCGAAACTGGCTGCAGCCAACGCCATGACCCAGCCTCCTGGATCGATCGCTACGATGCATTCGCCAGTCCATGCAGCAGGATGCTATAAACTATAAACTACGATATAGGTTGAATTTGCCACGATAAGCTTTCCTTTCCAGCGCAAAGTGACCTCGGGTTCAGTCAAAGGTTTACAATAACACCCCAAAAGCAGCAAACACATATTGCAGATATCCTGATGATCCGAGTCTATTGGGCCGATCGCCACAAACCCATTGCTACTATGTGGCTTACCACTTTTACCACTATCATCCGATATGGCGTGGTCAACAGCATATTCTGCCCAGACATGGTGACCTGTAGCCAGAGGTCAAAGGCAGTGGCGTAGCCAGGATTTCGCTCAAGAGGGACCGGCCAAGGGTCATCCTAACGGTGGACAAACGCGCCACTGGCACATAAATGCGAGATAGAGCTGATTTGAACGTTTTGATATAACGTGCCGTATCATGCTAAATGAGTAATTAGCGGGTAATCACATTGTATTTGAAAACGCCTACGTAGCGGTGGCTGCGCCATCAATTTTTGATTGGGGGGACGGGGTGAGAAAACCATTGTAACAACTGAATAAAAAGGATGGGAAATCATGCGTCTAATGATTGGAGTTTTGCAAATGTTCAGTGCCATATGAATTCCTCATGCGCCTTGCGCTTCATCACCGTTAGGCATGGGGGACGCGAGAACCGGGCATGGTGGCAAGGACGTCTAACGTCGGCCCTGTGGGCGTTGTCCGAAACCATCCAAATGACCATCACCCCCCCTCGCTCTCAGTGTGGAAGGACATCCATTCTCACATGCCGGCGGAAAAAGCTTATCACAGTTTCGTAGCTTCTTCTTAGTAGTCAGCAAAGTGCATACTATTTTCTAAAACAAGTGACTAGAAAATCTACCAGTATGTATAAGTGTGTACGTTTAGATACAAAAGCTTGGCAGGTTGATAGCAGGTGGTGTACTTTTTCCACAGCTGTGCCACGGCTTGGACGCCCGATTCATTTTTTCTTTTTGCTGACAAAAATGATCGCATAGCATAAATCTCACCATTAATTGCGGTTCCGATAGAAACATTCCAACAACACACTGCTTGAGTATAACAGGGTTCACATACTCCTTCCAGGTCTGCACCACCACCGTTTATAGTACGGCCCTAAGCGCGGCGAAAGGTTCGCGGGTGTGGTGCGTTTTGATTCGCAAAAGTCACTGTGGCAAGAGCTGGATCCATTCAATCCAGGCGAATGCGATGTCCACGACACATTACTGTTGCGTTGGTTCTCCTCTGCGTCGCCATTAAACGAATTAAGTTTTGAGCCCATGCCGCGAGCTAAAATTGCATGCAGCTGTGGCTGATCTGGCGTGCAGGGTCATGAGAAGGCGATCAAGTTTGACGACATAAGGAATGGGTTCTTGCGGGTCAGGCCACACACTGCGAAGAATGGACGGGAAGGGGCTATATTTACTCCCTTGACAAATGACAGGAGAGCAATTGACTTCCTGCCCCTCTAGAGGCGCTACCCCAGACGTCTCCGTACAGAGCGTTAAGGTTACACAGCTTCTACGCGACCAGGAATGAGAACTAACGAGCTCGAAAAGAGATAATAAATGGATCAAATGGGGTCTCTTCAGGTTACATGAGGGACATGCTGCAACTTAGTAGTCTTAAAACCAAATGCGTCTCGCACTGTCCACACATATCGCACAAGTTTGATGCTTTCATGTTGTAGCGTAACTTAAAAACCGGTGTCCGATTGATAGATGACATTTATGGCCTTTAAAAGATTTGCTGGTGCTCCGTAGAAATTAAATGAAACGAAGCACGCGAAATTTTCTGCACCACTTCCTCAAGCACGCTGCGGCTTTTGCACCTGCGCGACGAGCCTATATTCGTCTTTTTCCGGTTCTTTGACCACTATAGAAGCGACACGGCAAGCACGTCAGAAGCACAAACTCGTTCAAAATACTACTCATTAATTACTTTGGAGCAGGATAAGAAACGTGCTGTTTTCTTCTATTCTACCTGGTCACGCCCAAAAACGGAAACAAATAGGCTGGTGCCTTAGCCAAGCAAGGATCAAAGCTCCGCAGGGCTCCGCTGGGCTCCTGAAGCCTGGAAAAAATACCAGCACCGGACCCCAGGGATCTATTTCACAGTGGTTCAAAGGCTCGATGGTAACAACTTAGGGACGAAATTGACGATGATATCATTCAGAGACAAAACAAGCCTGACTTTTTGACGGACGGAAGTTTATGCGGTGATGAGTATTCTGTGTTTGAAAAGTTTACATTGGCCGGTATTTTTTTCGGCGACGAGGAGCTCCCCGACATTCGGGCCTTCGTTTGATCTTGAAGGGCGACCTTGAGAGGTCAGGACATTTTGGACAGGACAGGACTTAGTTTTGTCACTAGCCGATTGTGCATAAGCATGACCGTTCTCAGGCAAGCAAGGGTAGATATTTGCCCCATTTTACCTCATTTTGATCTACTCTATTAACACTCATATGACCCCTTACTTTTTCCGGGCAAGGGCCCGTGAGTAGAACACTAGAGGCACATTTTGGTTCCTGGTCAAGGTTTGAAGGGCTACTCCGTTCCAGTGCGAGGTACTTATGTTACACGGGGGATTTTTCGGTTATATCGTCGTCGTTTCCTTCAACTTTGTTTTGCCCTCCGCGTAACTGGAAGCATTGGCTCCTCATTTTTTCCAGCAATATTGCCACGCTCACTCGACGGATTTCTCACCGACACCAAACGGCAATCACGAGATTCCCAAATCCCAGTTTGAATAAATGCGACAAGCGCCATGGCTGACCGCAGGCTTTGTGTGTATGGTTTTTTGGTAAGTGTATATGATAAGCTCCTGTATGGTTTTGAAGTTACGTACTCGAACATGACGTTGTATAATATATAATGTTATGCATATCTGTTTTAAGATGGTGGCTGTACTCACTTATAATCAACCTCGCGAAAAAAGCTCGTTGAAGTAATAGGTCTGCCAGCAAAAGTCATATTTGTTTACATTGAATATACATGTGATTGTTATTGGCGGCTGTTGACTAGTTGGCATACTGCACTGACCCGTAGGTAATTACCATCGAGGCAATCCCGTGTCATAAGCCGACTGAAACTGGCGACTGCAGATGGTGCCGGTCATATTAAAGGAAGGCCTTTAGTGCGGTCGCTACACACAGTCTGCAAGTTATGTGCAGCGATCAGACCCCCTGAACTATGAGCGGAACCGTACAGTCATACGCCACGTATACCTCGGAATTTAGTCCCAGTAATACGTAGCCGCCTGGTGCAAGACTCACCGGGGCATCAACAGGTAGCCCCACCCTCTACCGTTACTGAATGATGCTAGAATCCCTCGCCGGCACGCCGGAATCCCAACTCGGCTCATAATACTTTGTCGCCAGAGTCCCACATTGGCACGCCGGAATCTCTCATCGGCTCATATGTGCGAACCTCGCCTTCTGGATTCGCTGTAATAATTCTGACAACAGTACCCCCAGTGACCGAATTCACTGCCGCTGCTAAGGGTCAGTGAATCATGGTCATCTTAGCAAACCCCCTTCTGTGGCCATATGTCAATCCATCAACGGAAAAAATCAACCAACTTTTCCGACAGCCCAACGCCTTTTCCCGACTTCCATCTCCTGGGAGTTGTAACAAGGCCGCTGAAAAGCAAGTTCCACGTTCTGCGAGCCGCGAATCCGCCAACGGTACCCTACACGTGCCACCACTACTCTGACTAGCGGCTAGCCCTCATCTGTGAGTC